CTTTAAATATCTATTATAGAGACGTTACATCAATTAATCATATAACGATTTTATTTTTAAAAGATCTTTGTACAAAAGATCTCTTAGTAGATGTGAGGTGGGTAACACCCCTTACGGTAGAAGAAGCTTGCTATCCCTTTCTATCTTTCTGCTGAAGACATGGCAACTTGTCTAAACTACGAAGGTTGGTCTTTACGTGGCACTTCAAAAGAAGTGATCCATCACCTCTGTTACCCTATGTGGCCTCGCCTCGGCCATACAAAAGATGATGTGCAATGCGTGCCTGTTTAACTGCTAGCCTTTTTAACTGCTAGCTGGTTGCCTTGGTGTGAGGATATGAAGTTTCGTCAAGCAAGACGTTCATGAGTCACAAAAAGCTATGAATAACTATAAAAAATTTCAAATTGTTGTCTTTTATATATTTTATTTTTTTATGTTTGAAATAATTATCAAAATGGATCAACGGTCTAAACTATGAAAACGTCAATATTCTTCAATTTACACAATTATAGTTTGATCGTGGATCTTAATTAATATCCTACATTAGTTAAGTACAAATGTGAAAAATTAAGTTATTTCAATTTTTTTATATATAAATTTTAAAATTGTTTTGGTAATATCTCTATTTCTTCTAAGTGATTAGTAAATGAAAACACGATTATCCCATGACGAGATTTCCTTTCATTGAATTACTGTCAAACGCTTTATCCTAAGTGAAACTACCGAGTAGCTATTTTTAGGCAAGAACACGTTATCCATTTTATACTCAACACTTTAACTATCACTTTTCCCTGTATATTTCCCTTTTAAGTTAGCATAAGATGAGAATCTGTTTCTTTTGAAGATTGAGAAACTCAAGTCAATGTTACGGTCATCACTCGAGATCCATATAAAAACTCATAGTTCCAAATTTTTCTGCTTCTAGCAACTTTTGACACTCGATTTGAAGCTCATTTCCCAGCGATTTTATGCAAATTTGAGTGCCATATTGAAAGACTGGTCACGAAGTACGCAACACTAGTTCGGGTGTGAAATGTTGACAATGACAAAGATCGTTTTATCGCCTAAAAAAGGATTGATC